AGTGTTTCCCCATTCCCTCACGGTAGCTCCATTTAAAACGTTATGACGCAACGTAGGCCTATAATTACGGCTGTGTCTATTACTACCAGTTGAAAACGATATGTTCATTTAAGCACTTAGACGTCTAATTTAGACATAACAGCAGAACTTGTTGCCAATTAAATCATTAGCATGTAATAGTATGTAGCTGTGCATGGCTAAAATCACAATTCCAAGACGTATGTTGTCTAAACACAAACATGAAGACGGCTTTCCATTAATTACTGTCAAACACCGAGGTCCCTCCAGTTCCTGGCTGCGTTTTTCGCTGGCTCGGCTTTATGCTGCGAGTTACAGTGCCCCCTGGCGCTTGCCTGTAGACTTGCATATCTTCATATAAATATTCCAGAATATCTATGCGATTCAAATGCCTAATGAATGCAACGAAGCGCACAGCCAAGTGCGGTAAAAGCGGTTCTCATTGGTTTAGATAATTCTAAATTGCTCTTGATTCGAAACGACGAATTAACACCATTGAAATGTGATGAAGACCAAATTGTCGCTGTTTGCGTATCAGGATAAACGGCACGCATTTATTCTGAGCACTTGGGAACGGAGAATGCTATAGCAGCCGTAAACTGTTTTGGGTTTGTCGATGCAAATATGAAAGTCTACACTATAATGTTAAAATCGTTAATAATTTTCGTTTTTTATATAATTTAGAAATATGCTTGAGGAAATTTTGATGATTTACATTAGTAGATGAGCTGCTTCACGTCGCAAATAAGAATATAAACGGATTTTTAAAATAATTATGGAAGAAGCGTTTAAAATCGTTACATTTCAATTATATACAAAACTGGCAGCCTTTAAAACAGACTCAAAACGGCGATATTTTTTCTCTGTCCTGTGCTGGCATTGTCGTCTCTGAATCCCGTCCGCAGTTCTTTCGGTGTCCAAATAAAATCCTTTCGTTTTGTGTCTTGACAAGCCCGCGGTTTATTGAAGTAAAAAACGAGGTCAGGTTGCGCCTGAAGGGATGAGCGCCAGCTGCTTGCTGACCAGCTCGCTGTCACACCTACCTTTATTTCCAAAATCCATTCTTTAGCGAGTAATTAATAGGGAATCGTGGGTGACATTGCCAGAGGTTCAACACCAGACTCGTGCGTGTCACATTTTAACCAGGACACTCACAACATTATTATTACTTTGCTATGTTTAAATGACATATAAAGTAATATAATGTTCTATGAAAAGTGACATCAGCCACGCGTCGGTAGTTGGCGACCCAGTCCAAACAGATCACATCCATAACTGGCAATTATGAAACTCGTCTAATTTGGCGATAAGGGTTCTTTCTGTTATTAATAACGTTATGTGGCGTGCCTAATGGGCACATTCTTTTTATAACTATGGAAAAGGATGCGCAATTGCACGGATAATTAAATTAAAGTACGTTTTCAATTCATCTTCATAAACAAGAGGTCAATTTGTCTTTGTTTACATGGAAAAGGGAAAAGGTTCGGCCGACAGTTTTGAATCCATTGATTTAATGTGTGGGATCATTCGGTAATGAGTTCAGTAATGCTGAAACGTTGAAATTCACTTTAGATTTTACATTTATGTATAAGACTTTTTTCTTGAATTCACCGTTTTTCACTAATTACTTAGTAGTCAGTTTGCACGTACGGAACATACTTACCTGACGCGTGGCCGCTTTGATAATCTTACATATGCTGTGCAAAGTGTAACGAATGTCAAATATAATCAACAACATCAATGATTTCTTTTCAGTGCTTGCTTATAATCACCTTATGGTATTGTCTATACAATTACTGGGGAGTTTTGTATGTAAAATTAACAGACAATTATTACACATCTAGTCTTAATTATGTCTCAATTTAACGCTGGCAAACTAGCCTATAACTGAGTAATTAAAATCCTCCCTAGCCCGTGCCTTTAGGGGAGAGGGTAATTAGGAGCTGTCAACCGCTGAACTGAACCGAACCAGTCAAGCGTGTTGGGCAACGTGACCCGGTATTGTTAAGACTTGTCAACATATTAACCTGAATTCCCTACAGTCATCATGATCGCAGTACTTACATTTAAAAGAAAAAGGAAAAGGGATAGAACAGCTGTCATTTTACCATAGCCCTAATGCGCGCGCCTCTTCGCTGAAATCATTTACGTCAGACCTTTTAGTTTATTAAAAATACTCCCCAAAATATGCTGCAGATTTTTTATATGTCCTAACTAACGGTTGAGTTTAAAGTTCAAAGACTCTGTTAAGCTTTTTTTAAACAAATGTGGCGGAAAGGTAATGATCAAGTATGACGATAATGAGGGCAAAACGCACGTAATTCAAGAACGCTGGTTAGATGATTAAAGTGTAAAGTGTATTCAGAAAGGCTGGACTTTCTGCACATTCAGCTTGACGCAATTTCATACACGGCGTTGCTACAGGTTTCATGCAAGTACAGCGACTCCGACGTGACGAAATTTGACAGGAATGAGTCTGTATTTTTAGATGGCAGCGCAAATCTCCATGTCAGATTGTATTGATTTATTTCTCATTAGCCAACGGCTTATGTTTTAATTTACCCCGTCTTTTCAAGAGCAGTCCGCATTCCCTTGTCCTTGACAATGTGATTGATGAGAAACATGCTGCTAATTTGCGATTTAATCAGTTAAGGACAGCAAGATGTTACTTTTAAAAACATGACACCATCACCATTTGATTTTGCCGTTCACCAAGTAAAGTTTTTGAAAACGTCACAATGGAGATGCTGTATGTGTCAAAACCTGAACATAAAGCAATGCTAATTTTAATTACTCATTTTTGCGCGCGCACGCATTCAGCAAACACAAGCTATAGGCTACGTGTGTTCATACATACGAGTCACACAAAACAGGCGAAACAATGAAGACAGACAAGGCGGAATAAACAGTGAGCGACAAAGACGAGGTGATGAATTTCTTTGGGCTGCAATCGGCGCACCTCGGTATCCTCTGGCGCGCTCGGAGCTAAATAATTGATGCGGGGGATAAAAGCGGTCGGGCTGCGGAGGGGACCGCGCGCACAGGGCCGAGGCCCCGGCCGGCCGGTCCCCGCTTTCAGACCGAGTGCGCCCCATGCCTCCTGCATGCCCCCCACACACACACACACACACACACACACATCACCCCCTCCCCCCCAGCCGGGTCTCCTCCGGCAGCCCTTGAAGTGCAAATCCGTGTTGCGGCTTGTTCCTGGCGGCCGTCAGCATGTTCCCTCGCTTGTCAGCGGCCATCGACTGGCCCGTCTCACCCTTGTAACGCGACGACTGACAGGCCGGTGACACTGCCCGGCCCGATAATGGAAACACATCGATTTTCCCGAGGTCCAGGGGGCAATTTACAATAACTAGCCAAACGGGGACTTGATCAATTGACTTGATCTTTGGATCACCCTTGCCAGAAGGAGATAATGCCGTCAACTTGAGAAAAGTCAAACATATCAATCAAGACACAAACCTACAGGTGAACCTGTAGTGCTAAATAAGACAAAAAAGCAAAATCAAATAGATCGCGCTCCAGCACCTTCTCCACGCGGACGGAAAGCGTCCCCGATTCCGCGTGGGCGACTTTTAAAAACTCCAAGTCCAAGGCGCTGCTCTTCCATTTCAGAGGCAACTTTAATTTAAAAATAAATAAAATACGCTCATTTAATACGCCCGTATTACCGTACTCCCATTGTACAATACCAGCTTATTATCTTTGCTAATTTAAACAAAGTCAATGAATGGTTGCCATCTTTTTTTCTATTGGAAAGGGATTACATTTATATACAGTTTTAATAAAGATAGACTCCGTAGGGAGGTACTCTGATACACTGCCTAATGAAAATTGACTTATCATGCATTGGGCTGCTACCAGAGGACTTCGGTGGCAGATGGCAGGTGTGAGCCCCATAACAGCAACACGTTTCTTTATGTTCATTTTCTTTCTCATGCATAATGCTGCCAAAAGGGAGGGGCGGGAGTCTGGTCACGGTACTACAATCTCATTATAATCTTTTTATTTATTGGGCCCCGTGGGAGGTTGTCTGTCCACGACATGACTTCCAGTCTCCACGGAGAGCATATTTTGATACAGCCATGGGACCGAATGAAGCCATCGAACGGTACAATTATTTCCCAGAGAAAAGCATTAATGTAATCAAATTCCCTCTGGAGGTGCACGATGCCAATTGTTTTTTTGCGCTGCTTTGATCCACGATTTAAATACTGCCCCAGATAAGGTTCTGATCTGCCCCTCGTCACTGATTTTAAGGGGAAAAAATCTGTTATTATTATTACATGCAACTATTATTGTTATTATTATTGTTATCAATAACAATATTCCGGTTATTATTATTATTCAGATTTTATTTATTCTGTGTGACATATCATAACGAATATTATACAGCCGGATACTTTAATACCATATCTGGACCAACAGAATCACGAAAATGCAATGTTTGCATGAAATGTATCCGCTTACGAAAATAACTCCTTGGCAATGATTACGGTCGCGCTCGTGTATTTTTACACTTGCAATTAACCATGCCGCGTACCGACAACGTTATGCGTGTCAGACATTTACGATTTTGCAGGTCAACTGTCCAAGCCGCCGGTGCAGAGGATCACCTGCGCGTCTCCGGCGCTCGTCACGTGACACCGTCCGCCGTCGCGTTACAGTCTCGGAACATTTGACATCCATATGGTGACTTGAGCGCCCTGGAAGGAAAAGGAAGAGAGGACAGACCGAATATAGAGGTTTGATTTTATTAAACACACCCCCGAAGTTCATCACGCCAAACCTCGATGTAGTGTCTTAATAAAATGCGAACAGCTGCAATGCGCTTTCACTGCGGTTAATTAAGGCCGGCGGTCTGCTCACCTTAAGGCCTCCCACGTGCTTCAGTATATCCAGGATGGCCTCTGCACGGCTCCCACAACATATCAACACATTGTTTTTAAAAGGTCAAGTTCAAGCCAGCCTCGCAGTTCAATATCACTTTATTTAAAGAAAAACTTTTGCATAAACACTTAAGTTAACAGTCAAGGGAAAGGTTCACATAAAACCAACAGGTTCTAATTATGCACCAAAGTGACGGGATATTATTGGATATTGCAAATGACTTTTTTTTATGTCTGACACTAACCATCTTTCTGCTGATGTCCAAAAGAGTGGGTCATTAAAAAGTTCCCTGAAAAATAATGAATATAGTATATCACAGAATTAGTGTAGCCTATATATAGTGATTGTTATATATGTGCATGTTGTTTACAGTTCAACCCAGATTTAGCTATAAACATTGACACAAACTATTGTGAATGACTTGTACACAGTGGCTGCCCCTTGGTGCCGACAAGCCCTACAGAACCTCTAGTGTTAAGATCACATCTCATTTCTCATGGACCCTGAATCTCCAGTGACGCTACCAAAGTTGAAAGTAGCAACAGTCTGAGAGAAGTGAAAGGGGCCTTAACGACGTGTCACCAAGACAGAATAATTCATTTACAAAAGCTTAAAGAGTATTAGCCGTTAAATAATTGAGATGCGGCTGTTCCTTTGTTCTGGAGGACAGAAGTTGGAGGGCCCGGCTGTTCGTGCACGGCGCGGCACTCCGAGAACGCGCTCCCGCTCGCGACTGAGAAGGGACTGAAGTGTGCGAGTACCTTAATTTAAGGTGTTACCGTTTCTTCGTACGTGCATTCGCAGATATACTGAACAGACTCCTACAAATGTAACATTAATTAAAAGGCTTTCACTTTTTACAATGAGCAATGTCTTACAGTACACACGGAATATTAATAGTTATAAAATCCTTCCCCCCTCCAAAAAAAAAATTGTGAGGATGAACGTTTGAAACACCGTAATTTAGTAGTATAGTTGTTATATCTAATATATGCAGTATAAAACAGAAATAGAGTTGGGCAAAAATCATTACCTTGTGTATATAATGTCATTATTTACTCACATTACCTGCAATTAATGCAGGCAAAATAAACGTTCTGTGATAAATGTAGCTCAGGTTTATGGTTTTTCATAACTAACACATTGAGGTTAACCGTTATGGTACGTCGACATGCATCTGAAGGCACATAACCAAAAAACAACAAAACAAAAAAAACGTCCTTAACGCCCTACCTAGATATTCCCACCACATGATATGTCCGTTACCAAGCATATTTTTATTTGCACCAATTTCTTTTACACAGATAAAAAAAGAAGTTTACAGTCGAGTCGAACTTGAAACACAAAAGCAGAATTAGTCTCATACTTATTGTCATCGAAAGGCGGCTATATCTAGAGCACTACGGCAAATGAATACAGGGTAACTCTCAGCTCAACACGTCCACAAACCAAATACACGTTTAACGGTTACATTCACTACTCAGAAACACACGATTTCGCCAGGATCGGTACAACTAAACCTTCAGCCTTAGTCCTTAATTATTTAATAAGCATATCTAACATGAGGTTTTCAGCACCATAACTATGTGTTTTACATACAATAAAAAAAATTAAAAACCAATGTTTACGGCAACGTTTCTGGCACAGTAAATCAGTTTTTTCTTTTAAATACGGTAAGTGAACGAGAGGGTTTATCTTTTCCAGGAAGCAGTAATTGCAGGAGTCACGGCGTGAAAACGACGTTACAAAACGCGAATGTGCTCCAGGATGTTATAAACAACTTGAGGACCGGAGATCCGCAAAGACGGCAGTCTGTGAGCGCGATGAGGTCGACTGAGTCATGCCAGCCACAGGGGCACGAAAATCCATTGGCACGCTTGCAGGGTTCTGTACGAAACGCAATCCATGCTCTTCACTGAAGCTTCGATCAGACTTAAATAAAGGTTTAAAGCAACAAAAAAATGAAAACTGTATGTACAGACTTTACTTGACAGCCTGTAAGTGTATTACATGAATAATTAGTTGTCTTGGTTCCAGAAAAGTCACGTGGTGTTTATTTAAGCATGTGGGACAAATCGAAACAGCGTTCCAGTTACCCAGAATGCCTTTCACCCTGTTTGCGTCACCTACTCTACAGTACTAATGTTGACTGCACGCCACAGTACAAAGGCTGACCGTACCGGGAAAACAAACAAACCAACGAAGAAAAAAAAGAAAAGAAAAACGTGCTGATCACTGTTCCCGGAGACCACTGTTGACCTAATGGACACTATCTGAGGTATGGGTTGTCTCATTTGGTAGTGCGTTCACACTGTTCATATCACTGCATAAAAAAAGAAAACTGAGGACAAATCATATTCTCAGCATGAATTCTACCCTAAAACGTGGACAGAGTAAAATACCACTAAAATTTAGTGAAAAATAGTGTTAGTCACACAAGAGAGCGTGATACAAAGACTTCAAACTCATCCCTGTCACACCTAAGTTGCTGCACCTTTGAATTGAATGTTCCTAAACCAATTCACCAGATTTAAAAGATACCCATATAAAAAGGGAAAGCGAGATCTGTATACATTGTATGAAATTATATATTTATATATAGATATACTTATATTTATTTATATATGTACATATGCACAATTGACCTAAAGTGAAAATAGTGAGTTTATAAAAGTTTCCTTGGCTCAGTAGGCCATCTGAGACACCAAGGGGGGGGTCTGCTCTTGGGGGGGAGAGGGGGGGTCTTTGGGCACAGAAGTCACCTCCACCATGCCCGCCCCCGTACGTGGCACGCCGGTGTTCATTATGTGTCTCTGTAAGTGCTTGATCCAGTCCTCCTGGACTGACAGCGGACCCTGGAAGACTAGATCGCAGAACCTGTGGAGATGGGAGCAGACAGGGACACTGGGCAGTGCTGGACAAAAATGCCGGGCCACCGGCGGTAACGGCACACAAAGAAACGCTAACGATGGTGCTGACGGAGTCGGTTACGCCTAAATGAATAAACTGTAAGGGCACTGACCACGGACACTGTGCTGGGTGCTTGAAAAAGACTGCTGTGGGCGGAAAAGCAAGATTCGCTAAATGTTTTAATCTTCAATCGAACCTTACAACCACACAGACAAAGTTTGGTAATGAGAGATTCAATGAAGCATGTGGCAGAAAGAATTAATCCTCTTGGTCTAAACGGGGTTCAACTTTGAAGCTTGCTCTGAAGGATAGACAGTTATCTAAATGCTAAATAAGAAACATCCTCCATTTCTCCTGCATGCTAATCTTTTGGCCATCGCATTTCCTTTGTACCTTTTATGTTATTTTAGTCGCTACTGATAGAGCATTGAACAGAACATATTAGCATAGCATAACATACTGTACCACAATATAATGCAGCATAATGTAATGTAGCATACTGTAGCCTAAGCGTAACATAGCACTCTGTGACATAGCATCATTTAGCATTGCGTAACATGTATGCATATTAAGCTGCAACAAAGCATAGCATCATATAGCATTGCACATCATATCGTAATACACTGCAGCGTAGCATAGCATCACATAGCATAGCGCAGAATATCGTAATACACTGCAGCATAGCATAGCATGACATAGCATAGTACAGAATATCATAATACACTGCAGCGTAGCAGAGCATCACACAGCATAGCACAGAATATCATAATACACTGCAGCGTAGCATAGCATGAGATAGCATAGCATGACATAGCATAGCGCGGCGTATCATAATACATTGCAGTGTAGCATGGTGTGCCTACCTGCAGGTGAGTCTATAGATCTCGTCAGCTGCATGTGGCAACCGGAACATTTTTTTCTTGGGCCCGGGCCTTGATCTCTGCTTCTTCTGTTTGCAGTCGTAGGCTGAAAAATGGGGATTACAGACATGGCCGTTACTGCAAGCATGGCAGTATGCGTGCTCGCCTGGAAATGGGCTCCACCTCAGAAGAGCACACACCACCGGCCGCTTTTCAGCAACATCAGCTCTGCAAAGATGCTGCGTCCGCGGCACAAACAGGGGCTCCACACACCTGCTACAGGCCCCCTTCCATTGTCGGGCCAAGAGAAATATACCCGTGTGCAAATTTCACTGACAAAATGTCAAAACAAAGATGTTACAGCATCTCAAAACAAATATTTTTACTTATTAAACAGAAATAAAAAAAAAAAAACTCAGGAAAATGTACAGAACATTAACTGCATTTGTGTGAGTCAGAGGAGAAGACACCTTACTTGTGCCTTCCAGCAGGGCGGCCCTCTTGCGCCGTGCATAAGCTCGCAGATGATTGGACAGGCTGACTGCACTGTGGAATGTCGTGTTACAGTGAACACACACCTTCTTGTTCAAATCATTCTTCTCTGGAAAATAAGGGCAAAAATCGTCTGTCAGATTAAATCCTAAATCGATGTACCATGCTCATTTAAAGTCCTCTAGAGTTTCGCAAAGATGCTTTGTACTAAATCAAATAGGTGACTAAAATTACAAAATTAGCATTATTAGATGGTAAATAAAGCCATCAGGTTCCATAAGAAAGATAAAATACTGTATCCATAGGACAAAATACTGACTTAATTATTAAAGTAGTGATTGAATAGCATGAATTACACCACACTTGCCTTGTCACATAACACTAAGGGGGGTGATAACAGCATGAAATGCGTCAAGCTGTTAACACAGTGATTACGTTGCCGAAACATGCATGTTTTTTGGATTTTCTCCTGTCAACGAAAGTGGTTTGAATAACAGAACGTTTATGCGAGAAACAATTACATTTTGGTTAAGTGCATCGCCTCCGTGCAAAGGTAGAAAGTAAACATGCGTGGAAGATGGAGGTGAACAGACCCGGAATCACCATTACAGATCTAGTTTACATACTAATGAAGCAGCGCCGTGTTAATGGGGAGTCAGAACCAGCATAATGACTGAAAAAGCTGCTCGCTGTTTTCTTTTTAAAAAAAAAAACAAAAAAAACGAGCGGCTCCACATTCGACTGAAGGGTTTATTTGGACCGACATAAAACAAAGGTGAATAAACAGAATGGATGTGTTTCCAAATCCACATCAAAGCCTGCCATCGCTTTCATTTGAATTTCAAAGGCCTTGGCTGGCTTGTATTCTTTTTGAACACGCTACAATAATTGAAGCGATCGTGAACTTTCTCTACACGCGGCCGGTGACGATTGCTCTGGGATTACTGCCCAAAAACATGATGAAACCTGCATGAATATTTCACAGCCCCCCCCCCCCCCCCCCCCCCCCCCCACACACACACACACACACACACACAACTACAACGGGGTAGCAGTCAAACACGGTAGTCGTGTAAATAATGAAGCCCACGGAACGGCTTAAACACGCCTGACACTTTGTCTCGAGACCCTCTCACTACAGTCATGACAGGAAAACCGAAGTTTAGTTCATTTGTAAAAGTTGCAGGTCTCAATATCTTTTAGGAAAGAAACAGATGATTCATTTACCTGCTCCTACTCTGTGGTTCACATCATCTGGTTTCAGTAATTAAGTACAAAATAGCTAGTAGAATAAACATTAAAGATGCTGACTGTGCTTAATTATTAGCACGTACAGCCCATACTGGACCAGCACAAAACATTCTCTGACATCCTCAGCCATGAGTTGGGCCCTGCTTTTTGTGGGTCTGTTGTGATAAGCCTGCCTACCTGGTGTCCAGGTGGATTCTGCCCCTAGTGGATGCAGTGCTGCATTGCGCTCTTTGGGAGGGGACACCCCAAGACACTTCCTGGCTGTCTGCGAGCGATTGTTCATCTCCATCTCCTCATCCAGCTTCTTCCTCTTCAGCAGCTCAATCAAAGTGCTGGAGGGGGTGGTGGCGACCTCAGGCCTGGCCTCCTCCTGTTTGGGTTGCAGACCCTCCGCCGCATGCCGTGGGGGGGCAGGCCCCCACGCTCCCTCTTCATGGCTCATGTGTTGAATCTTGACAGGGATGCCAGTGGGGGACAGGAAGAGGCCATCGCTGCTGGCAAACTTCTGCGAGACAAAGGGGCGCGACAGGAAGCGCTTCCTGTTAAGCACCTGTAGGATGTGCTGACACTCCTTCTCATCCTGCATCATCTCATTGAGGATGCACAGCGGCGACTTGCTCGTGCTGGACACGGTGCGGCCGATGCGTTTCAGGTGGCCGCGGACGTGGTTCGACAGGCCCGTCTTGGTGTCGAACCAGCCTCCGCACAACGGGCACGTGTGGCCAGACTGCGACTCCGATTTGTGCGCTGAAGGATACACGGACAATACAGCAATTTGTTAGTGTCCTGTCAAACCACGCTCAATGCACACAATGCACCAAAGAGAGTTATAATTCATGTCCGACGCATTTTTCCCGACTTTCCAAAATGAAACTATTGCACTAGTTGGATAAATAAACAGATTAAATGTCTTGCTGACGCTTTTACCCAAAGTGACAGCATCACTTGTTAACAGTTGGATATTTCAGTAGAACAATTCAGGTTAAATACCTCACTCTAGCGTACAGCAGTAGGGGCTCTCCTGGGACTTGAACCAGCAACCTTCAGGTTACAAGCACATGTCCTAGCCACCGTGCTACCAGCTGGCCTTTCACAAGATTAGCCCCAAGTTTCAGGCTTTAACCAGACAACCAAACGACCGGCACGGGGCACCTTTCCTCATCCGCCGTATGGTGGTAATCTTCCGCCGGATGCGAGGTCTGCGGTCCTGAGATGCCACTTGCTCTGGTGAAACCACATGACGCGCATCATAGCTCAGCCCCACCCGGTGCAGGTGTCCCCGCACGTGATTGGACAGCCCCACCCCGGACTCAAACATGGCGGGACAATATGGGCAGGACTTCCGCTCGCCCCCGAAGGTGGGTGGATCAAAGTCGGAGAACGAGTCCACATGGGGGTCTATGTCCACCCCAGGGGTGTGTGCAGACACGTCCGTCTCGATGCGCTCCTCCTTCACAATCAGCTTCTGAATGGTGTCGCTTTCATTCCCAGAGTCTCCGCTCTTTTCAAATGTGTCCCCAGACGAGCCCCGATCCTCTTTGGCGGGAAACCTCTGCCTCCGGATGAAGTAGTTCCGAGCGTAGGGATTCTGTTCATTCTCGTTACTGTCCAGGAAGTTGGCCGTGGCTTCGCTCGTGTAATCGCTGAAGTCATATGGGTCCTCGTAGCTCACGTCCTTGAGAATTTCATGCTTCTTTGGAGTCTGTTCATGTTTTGGTAAAATCACATGGGTCGTCTTTTCCATAGTGTTGTGAAATGGCGTAGACATCTTCCTCTTGGAGGGAGACTTCCTCTTAATGGATGGCTCCACTCTCAAATGCCTGCTGTCGCTCTCCTCGCTATCTCCCTGTCCCTTCTCAAGCTCATAACCAGTGTAGAAGATGCTGTTGGATTTCTCCGTTTTCGGTAGCAGGGGCTTGTAGCAGCGAGGGATGGAGTTTGGCTTCTCCAAGTTTCCTGAAAATAGGCTCCCGTAACCCTGGTCGTCATCGTTGTAGCCGTCTTCCACATAAGGGAGCCCTGTCGTGACGTCTATTCTTGCAGCCTGCTGAGAAGATAATTTGCTTTGCTTGTCACTTTTCCGTAAAGAGGCTGACAGCTTGTTGAGTGAATTTCCGGGGCTCCACTTGGACAGTGGGAAGCCCAGGCCCTTGCGAGCTTTCTGAGTGACTTTGCTCTTTCTGAACAGGTGGGCCAAGCCTTCAGACCAAAAGGGCAGCTCTGCCCTCTTCCTGAAAGCCTGCTTCTCCATGCAGAACTTTGGCTTCAGCTGCAGCCTCTGAGTGTCTGATTTCTGGGCCTTGCCCGTCAACTTGTGCTGCCTGTACGCAGGTGTTGCATAGTCGTCTGCAACGTCATACAGGGGTTCCCTGTTGTCAACGTCCTCCTCATCAGCATGGTACGGCTGCTGATGAATGAGCTCCACATGCTTCTTCAGAATGTTCTTGTTCCGAGTGCTAAAGGGGCATATTTTGCAGGGAAAGGAGGTGGCGTCTGGCACGTTGTTTCGCACCATGGTAAACCTCCTCTGCTCCTTTTGCCCGCCACTTTTTCCCATCATGTCGCACTGCGGTTTACGCACGACACGGTGAGCTGCGTACAGATGGGTTTCCAGCTCCTGCTCTGTCACAGCCATGTGGCTACACTCCTCACAGCAGTAATACCGCTTGTCCTTCTCATGTGTCTTGGCGTGCTGGACGAAGGTGTTGGGGCAGTTTGTCCCAAAGACACACTGTGGACACTGCAGCCTGGCGGTCCTGCCCTCGTCCTTCAGTTCGTTGAGGCCCTTGATCTCCTCCATGAGCTTTTCCCTCCTCTCCTGGTGAATGATCATGTGCTTCAGGAGAGAATTTCGATCCCGAAAGGAGCGTCCACACTCCCTGCATATGAAGGGCCGGGGCACGTTGACATGCCGGACCTGACTGTTCCCATCTAAGTGGTACATCATGTGTCTATGCAAATGCTTCTTCTCTTTGAAGTTGACGTTGCACTTGGTGCAGGGGAAGAACGAGGGCTCCTCCTCCGAGCTCAGCTCCGCCAGAGGACCGGCACTCTGCTGCTTTGGCTTACTGCCCACGTCCAACTCATGGACGTCAACGTCATCTTGGGATTTCTTCGTGGGTGCGTGTAAAATGAGCTGTTTGATGGCCTCTACGGTGTCATTGGGATATTTGTCACATGTTTCCACTGTAGGCTGAGAGTTGGGCTTCTTCTTAAAGGGATGGGTGTCTACAGGAGGCCCTTCGTAGGCGGGGGACTTCTTCAGGGGGTAAACACGTTCGGGAACACTGGGCCTCTCCAGCATTTGCACCTTGCGCTTCCTCCTCCTCTGGCCTGAAGGTGGCGTAGTGGTCTCCTGCTTTTGCTCCAGTTCCGGCTGGCTGTGGTCACTCCACAAGAACTGCATAAACTCCTTCTGCGGGTCCCAGTTCAGATCACTCTCATAGTCATCAGAGGAGCTCTCTGAAGAGTCTATATCAAAGTCCCATATTCTTCTGCCGCCGAGCCCATCAGGGGACCTGTATCGGCCAACTGGGATTTTGTCTTGGTCATCCACAGAAAGCCGGTCGGGTTCCTCGGACTCACTGTCATGGGAGCCTGGTGTTGCAAATGGTTTGGGGCTGAGACCTGCACCGTTATTCGAGTCTGTAGACCTCGACTTGCCGGGTGCCTGTGATGGAAGTGGACTGGTGGCATTCCCTGGCCGTTCGGCAGGTGCGGCTTTTCCTGGTGAAGCCCCGGGCTCCTCCGGGTCACTGTGTGAGCCAGGTCCATTTGTGAAAGCTCCAGTTTCCGAATCGCTTCCGGAAGTTCTGCGGTGTTTGGACAGAGCTGACTGGATTCCATTAAGAGGTTTGTCACCGCGGTCTGACAATTTCGGCAACAGCGCCTGCGACGCTCCACCCTTCAGAGCGATGGCCGGACCCCCGAAGGGCTCCTGGGAGTCACCGGCGCTGTCCGACGCAGCCCCCGTGTCACTCTCCTCCTTGGCATTCTGCTTCAGGTCGGCCATTTTGGCAATGCAACCTGAAAGGCAAGTTAGAAACATTAGCCAGGTGTGAACTGGGCAGCCTAAACCGACTTGACTCAACTGCTTACCCTTTGACTATACTTTCACATGAACTAAATTTAAACACTAAAAAAAAATTACACAAGAATAACACACGTGCATAAATATAAAATTACATCTATGCATGAAAATCGCCAGCAGAAACAAATGGCTTCCGCACAGATAGACATGAATATTATTCAGTGTCGCATTGTGCTTACGTGACCCCTATTTTCACCACTTGCATTCACGGCGCACCCCGCTGCTAGCCCTGGATGCACTGGTGAGCTCTAATTATGTGAGCATTAAGAATCCCCACCTCTCACCGCCAACCCTCCCACAACTCGCTCAAAAACTCTCAGCTGTTACAGGAACACGCCTATTTCCATGGGAACAAAGGTACACCTTCAATGAGATCATATTCCTGCTTCTCACTCGCAAATGGTGCCAGCGCCAGGCGCAGCGAGAGCCGCGCATGTTGCTCAAATCCTTACAAATGGGTAAACACCAGCCACGGTTAAAAAAGCGTGGCTGGCTGGCGGAACCGAAAGCTCCTGACAGATTCGGGGGAGGGGGATGCAGGAAGAGGATTGCGGAGGGGGAGGGGTTTAATGCATCTGAAACCCCAGCTAATCATTTCTGGAGCCCACAAATATAGCTCTGGGTTCGAGCCGTAGTGCTTCGGTGTGCCTATACCCACCACCGTCTGGAATCGCTGTGGACCTGCAGCCAGCTGTGATGCACCCCTCCTGGCAGATACCGTAAGCCCCACCACCCACCTGCCCCCCGCCACCCCCAACAGGAGGCCAACTCGCTAACAAAGTGGTGAATCTGGTGTTAATGAGAGTCTTCACCGGCATCACCTCGGAGGTAGGAAAAAACGGGAAAAAAAATCCAGTGCCCCATATTCTTCCCATCTGTTGGGGTGTTAGAGGTTCAGAGGGAGACCAGACGCTCCCTGTTCCGGGCTGACGGAGGAGGGGGCGAGCCAAGCCATGCACATGCGAGCTAAAACCTTCATTAGCAACCCCCGCGTACCCAACGCTCAACATCTCAATCTCCTACATCCTCCGTCACGTGTTACCGGTCCGGTGACGCGACTTGCTATGACGATCATCACCCCAAACAAACAAGAAGACCAGTAAGTCTCGCTGCTCAGCGTAGCTTAAATACGAATCTCGGGAAAGCCGGATTTGTTCCCGTCCACAGATGAAAGCTGTGGTTTTGGGAGGAGTTCTCCTTCTCCTCATAGCTCTGTTCTTAAACTATCAGCACTTCAGCTAACACCTTCCCCACACGTCTTCTGGAGGTTACTGCAGGGGGAAAAAAAGAAAAAAAAAAACACAAAGTGATAATTGCACATTATCATAATTATTCTCTAATCCCTGAAGATCAAGCTTCCCGGGATATTGAATCATAAAATTCAAAAAGTGTTGGCCACATTTCATTAAGCCTCTTTCCTCTCCTGTTTACGATATTTTACAGATTTCTGGCGCTCATGACACCTCGCAAAAAACACACATAAAACCAGCTCAGGTTAGACAGTGCAAACAGACTGACATTTGCATGGAGCTTCCATCAAATAGCTTTATTAAGAACCTGGGCTTTGTTCCAGATCTTGAATGAAAACGATACCATGTGCCAGACGTACTTCAGGCTTTCGGTTTGAAGCTGGCCAACCACTCTGTCTCCTGAAACACTCCCCAGTGCAACACAGCTATGAATGACAGAAACAGTGGCTCTAACCACTGGACAGTGGCCTCAAACACCTTTACCATTCGGATGGAGTCCCCTGATTATCTGTCAGAGCTCTTAGGGTCCCTGGACATCCCTAACGGGTTTTTGTTTTGGACATCTTTTTCCATCCAGTAACTGATGAATATTAATGTCATATAATGTGAACCAGGGCTTTGCCTCAACAACGGGACGATCCAAGGCCGGGAGCTGTGGCAGCTAATGAGAAGACCCCTCACAATTGGTGTCCGTCCTCAAAATAAAACCGGCGGAAACAAAAGCCATTAACCATGTCCCCGAAAATAGTTCCACGTATCCACACCTGGACAACGCACACGAACAGTAGACTTAATAGAAGTAACAGAAGAACTTTACCGTTTTATTTTTAAAAACTGACATCTAAACCAATTTCATCTAAACCAATTTATTACCCATAAGTCTTCAATGTCTATAACACCAACGTTCCACCAAAATAATCAGGCCCAATGAAGCAGGATAATAAGCACAACAATGATATGCTATGCTAATCATCAATAGCACCAGGAAGTTTAAGTGTTTCTTAAGAAGAAAAATTGGTTTGGGGTGGAAAATGCAACTTAATATCATTGATTTTTAACAACATAGCAACAGCTATTATTGGCTGTTAAAAAAAAAACTCACGGCTGTCACTGTTATAGTGAGAAATAGGGTGGTGTGACAGTAAGGATGAAGCCAGCAGACCATGCAGATGAATTTGGGGGGGGGGGGGGGGGGGGGGGGG